TGCCAGAGTGAATTGTCGAGCTACAGGCGATGGTTGGCAAAAGCTCCCACGGTGACACTGCAGCTGGTGGTGGCCGTGGACATGATTATATTGAAGAAAGTATAAACAGCAGAACTAGCGGTGGTGGTGGCAATAATTCTTCATCTACTGGCAACACATTGCAGCCCATCTTCGATGTAAAGGTGGTTGATGCAAACTAGACAGGAAGGACCGCAACTATCAGCTTGATACACAGAAAGTCACGCGTCGTGTATCAAAGTGGATCTCCTCGAGCTTTTCCGCTCGCAAGGACGATGTCATGAAAGTATTGTCGATAGATCTCCCGTTTCTCTTCTACGAGAGATGTAAATCGGCGTTAACGAAAGCGGGATACAACGGCAACGACACTTTTAGCAGACTACATGAAAGATAGCAACATCCAGTGCCACATATTCAGCACGCAGCCTTCCTACCTTTCACACACTGAGAAACGAAGACTTGAGAGGAGACTCACCGTGACTGAAGAGCTGAAAAATCCTACGAACGATCTAGATGTTGGCGGTCTTTACGATTTGGTTGCGGATTTCTGCAGCGTGTGCTGTGGCACTTCAAGGGTGATGGTGCCCAGAGGCTCATCAGAGGCGACCTTTATATCGCTCATGGCCATCTAACGTTTTTCAGAGGAGTGATGGGTACTGCTAGGCGGATGCAATTCGGGAAACGAGCAATAATGCCGACGGAAACGTCAAGACTGGCGCTTCTAAGGCTGCTACAGCGATGCAACCGATACTGAATGAGGTTTCTCTGCGCAGTTGAACAAAGCGTGAGCAGCGACTGGTTCCTCGAAGTGGCTTTTGTCGAAAGGTTGGGAGATATGACGAGAAGAATAAAGGACAAATTCGAGCTTGCAAGTGGAAGAATTATAATGACTGCAAAAGCAAAGTTATTGCGCTGCGGCATTCGATGGCATTTTCTTTTGGAACTCTGACTTGGTCAGAGAACATTTGTATCTTCTGGCTTTGAAGTGCCCGATGTCAAAGACACGAGGCTTGAGAGTTTGTGTATTTGCGAAAGAAAAGTGGAATATCACACCTGCACTGACTGCTAGACATGCGCGAATCGAGTCGCAT